TGAAACGATGTACATGAATAATGAGTTACCACCCCCTAAAATAAAAAGTAGGCATATTAAAACAACAGAAACCAAGACTAATAAATCTTTACATTTCGAAGTTGTAATCACACTACCTAAGTCAGAACACCCTTACAGCCACATATACAGATGACATCACTTGGCATACATAAGCACAGATGATAGAATAACATTAAAATGGATTCTAAAGATGTCGGGTATGTGAGTGTGGACTGGGTTCGTATGGTTCTAGACAGGGGCCGGTGGCAGGCTCTTGTAAATGATAATTAGGATTTGGGGTACTCACGGTGGTGAAAACAAAGATGGCTGTCTTATGAATTGTAGTGCCATGTAATAGTGTCAGGGTGACCTCCCTGATGATGGAGGCAACTAGGACCTCTGAAACGTTGGTAAACTAATACCAGACTACACGGAGCTACAACCCAGAAGACAGCCATCTTCCAATGTGACAATTAATCTTGTAGTTAAATAAAAGACTGGGAATTTTGCTAGTTTAACGATTACAAACTTCTAAAACACTGTCCTCCTTAGTCTTTCAGTCCAGAATGCATATAGTTTGCTTACTTCGAGTCCCAACATAAAAAGCACAGAAGGAACAATGGTGACGGACAGTGCTATGAAGTCAGGAAAACATCCACCCAGTACGCCGGGCAGAGGTCCGATCTTGGCCTGAATCCAATGTTGTCCACGACCCCCACTGATGTAGTCCATGGTAGCGCTGAGACCCCTCGAGCAGGCAGCCAGTGCTGTCATGTTTGAAAGCAGTCCGAGCCACATTGTGAGAAAGGCAGCGAAATCCTCTGTCAAGTACCGGCGTCGACGGTGTCTTGCAGCCACAGAACCACGTGCCACCTCCAGGTCGCCCCGACACAGACCTGCAAACAGACGCAAGATTATGCAAATTAAATGAGTAAAACAGTAAAAACGTGATTATTCTATTTATTTATTTGTGGTTTATTTAACGACACTTTTTTCAGTAGCTCAGACTACAGAGCGTCAAATGAGACGATGACGGTGTACTGGATAGGACGTGGAAGGAAGCGGTCATGGATTAATTGAAGGTGCAATTCCGGCATTTTCAGGAAGGACTGAGGAAAACCACGAAAACCCTCAGTCAAGATACCCGGTCTCTGGGCCGAGATTTTGACCAGAAGTGGGAGTGTTAACCAATCAACCACGACGTCCGGTACGAGGATAATAAATAAATCAATATTAATAAATGGGGTTTTAGTTTGGACCGAACTAGAAGAGAGTCCAGTGATGGGTTCTTGTGAAATTTCGGGTTCCATACAAGGCTGGAAATTTCCTGATTAGCTGAGAGATTATCAGCTTCTCAAGAAAGAAGACTCTGTTCCACGAGACTGACATGATACGAAATAATGGCTTCTCTGTCTTACACATGTCACAGATAAACACTGAAGAGGTGTTTTAAAACCGTCATCGGATTACAGAGGTCGGGGGTCAAGTCCACGTTCTAATGCGGTCACAAGAGATTAGTGACGCAAATACAGATTGTATCATTCAAAAAGTAACCCAATAATAATTGCGTGCTAATGTTCATAAATGAAGTTAGAAGTACGTCCACCCTCTTGTAATAATAGACTG